TATATATATATATATATATATATAGAGAGAGTAAATTTATGAATAATGTTATCATTATCACATTTTTTGAATATCTAATGTTAGATAAAAGACAACATATAAATGAATACTGTAACAATCATATACTACTGTGATAAAACAAACTAATGGTTTTCTAAGCTTAATTACAAGTTCGATTGGAATGTGTAACTATAATATACTAGGCCAAATTTGGAAAAATATCAGTTTTAGGCATGTTGTGCTAAAATCTGGAAAACCAATTTTTTAGCATAATTTGAGGAAGCTGAATTAAAAAAAAATTGCTTGCCATACTGTACTCTGAACACTGGTCTTCTACGTATGAAAAATAAAATGGCCACCACAAAAACACAAAAAAATGTCAATACACTTATCTGTATGCCAGTAGATAGAGTATGACTGTGGCCAAAATTTGATCAATTTGAGTCCCACAAGCATTAAAATAGTGCAATTAATAACATTTTCTTCGAACTAAAAGGCAATCGGTAAAGTGTATACTTTTGCCTCACATTTTCAGTTTTACACTGAGAGCGAGTTTTCTTTGTATTTGAACTTGTAACTAGGCAAAAATAAGATATTTGTTTCAGATGGGACTACTTCCAGCTACTCAAGCACCAGATATTTGTGTTTAATTTCTTATGTTGGAAATCATATCCAGTAATATTCTAGTGGTAACATGGTATGTATAATTTACTTCTCTGTTGTAAATAGTGGCATCTAATTATTGATAACATGGAGACACTAGCAACCTTGAAAAAATGAAACAAGCATAATTTAACTTGTATATTATATGCCAAAAAAATAGTGCACAACCCTTATATGATGCAACTACACAAGGACTGACCTCTTTTGTTAATATTACATAAGAGAACCAGAAGCTTAGAGATGTGAAATTCAAAAAACACAATAGAAAGGCTACTGGCAATGTTAGATCAGTCTCCCAAAATATTCCTAGTTTGGCACAAATACTGTTCTGATAGTTATACAAGTAAAGAAAAAATACAAAGACTAATAAAAAAGATTCATATTTTAATGTACATATACAACCTGTAGCTAATCAGCCAAGGTATTCCTGAGTTTAGACAAGTTGAATGATTGTTTGACTGACTGATTAGCTTACTTACATCTAAGTTTCACTTCCAAACCCAACTTATCAGAAAATAACCTTTCACATATTTAAAAAGTTTTTGGTAAAAAACTGATAGTATCTTCCTACCAGCAACTATTGTTTTTTGCTAAAAGCAGCAAATCACAGATACTCAATAAGTAATATTGCTGTCATTTTGTTTTTATAAACTGAGGATAAAAGATTGAACATACAGCTTGGCGAACAATATTCCTGTAATCAGCAAATTTTAGATGTATCAAAACACTTGTTTACCAATTTTTAACACCAAATGCCTACACTTTTATTTTCCAGGCACATATTTTGAAATTTTGCTCCATCTATAATTGAGTCTAAAAATTTAAGTTTACAAAAAATGGTCATCTATACTGCACCTGAGAAAAGTTGTTCCCATTTGTTTTACAACACAGATCTTTTATGAATATTGTATTTGTACCTTAGATTTCAACAGCAATTAAGCTTCTTACAAACACTTTTAAAAGTATGCTTTTCTTCAAAAAGGAGTAAACTATATATTATTATTAATTACAGAGATTTATTCTTTCTACTTCACTAGGACTGTTGATGTCTTCTGCAATGGATTGAGTTAAAACCAACCCAAAAATGCCCATTCCTATGGCAAGAAATACTCCAGAAACAAAAACTAAGAACTTGTCTTTTAGTAGAATTATTGAGGGATCTTTTCGAAGGGTTTCTTGTAAGAGACAGAGTCCTGAAAAATAAGTTATTTTTATTTCAAAGATAATTGAAGTGTAGCATAAGCTATAAACAAATATGGTTTATGGTTTAACACTCATAGTGTACAGTCAATATGAAGATAAAAAGCAACAATATTGATGCAACATGAAAATGAAATTACTTTATGTTAGAGTACTGTGCAAAAGTACGCATCCTAAAATACTCAACAAGAAATGGTGAAACATCACATTTACAAACTACTATATACATTAAAACATAACTGACAGAATAAAAAGTCAGTAAATTCTATGAATGACCATATACATACTAAAATAACTTAAGAGGTAATGAAGCTTTACAAATGTGAGAAGTAATGAACATAATATATATATATATTACACACACACATGTACGTATATTACAAAATACAGACTGATTCTGATATAGTTTTCTATTTAGAATGGTTTTTAAATAGTTTTCAGCTTTAAGAAAGAAAAATAAGGGGCCTTCTAGATGGATAAATTTATCTATTTGTGTATATATTAGGGATGCACGGGTAGTAAAATTTGGCCGAATAACGGGTCTGGATACCCAGTCACTAAGCTTCAACTGGGGCCTCCCCCTTGCCCCTCCTAAAAAACAAACAACATACACAAACGTTAGAAACAAAAACAAAATTGATGTTTATTACATTTAAACAAATAATCACCAGCAGAACATTCAAGTTTTACTTTCAACTTTCAATGGCTAGCCCCAACTTCTCAAACCTTAACCCCTATTGTGCTCTAAATCCTCGACTTTCAGCAGGCGGTCAGTTTTTGTTGCTTGGAACTTTTAGAACAACATTAGTTGGCACAAAGATTAGGGCTTAGATGCCTAACCTCGACACTTGGCCGGAGCAGAGTATTAGTGGGTAGCCCAATACCTGGCCGGGGTACCAGTGCATCCCTAATATATATATATATATATGAATTAAAAATGTATGTTGGGTTTAATAATTTCAACTGGAAATATTCTGCATGTTACCTACACTATGTTTTAGAAGTAAAGGCCATTAATTACATGAATACATTAGCATCTTTGGTATCATCATTACAATTATTGCAATATGTGGGCTGTAAATGAAATGATCACCAATGTGAAAATATTTTTTGATTTTTAAAGTTAACATTTTTCCTTACTCATCATAGAACAGAGCTAATATCTAGTGGCACTGCTGAAATGGTTTTGCATATGCATCAAACCTTTGAATGAAACTCCCATCTCCATATGTAATAACATGTATAGTACCAGTATAGTGCAATCACCATTAGACTACAAACTTCCACAAATAATAGCAAACACATCCTCCATGCACTGTATTCTCTTTGAGAACTTTATGTATAGCAAAAACTCATTCTTGACAGGCTGAAGAGACACACCAGAAATGGAAGGGAAGAGTGGATGGTTCTGTGGAAAGGTGTCTGCCTGAAATAATTGGTTGGTTGGTTGGTTGGTGTTTTATGGCGCAAAGCAGCTAGGCTATCTGCGCCAAACAACCGGTAAAAGCAATGAAAGTAGATTAAAAGTAAAATGTAAAAAAAAAACAGCGAGTTAAAAATCAATAATGTCGAGTTAAAAATCAATAATGTCGGTAAAAGATTT